GTTATCTGGAGCCACTTGTGTCATGGTGCCCTGGATTAGCTTTATTTTTATCTTGAAGCATTTTTTAAGCCACATGTTATGATTTCACACAGTAGCTACACTTTCTAAAGAACTTATCAGTAAAACTTGAACATGAGGAACTGGAGAGACCACTGTTTGTAATACACTAAAGTCAAGAAAAGTTAAAATGAACTTTTCTTATTGAACAAATGCATGTTAATTCCAGGCTGTTACTTAAATGACTTAGTTGGATAATCATATGCTTATTTATTTACAGTATTTGAGAGCCTACAATGTTCAAGGTGCTATGCCAGGTGGTAGAGTGGTAACAGTGAGTGAAACAGACATGATTCCTGCCTTTATGGAGTTTCATATAATTCAGAGTATTGGAATTTAGGTCTTTCTTTGGGCAGTTGCCGTTTAGACATGAAAGGTGTTTACACGCTAAGTTTGTAGAGGAATAATTGATGTGACTAGCATTATATCTACTAAGAAGGAGTAAAAATGCCAACTATACTGTTTTTTGTAAAATATAATTACCTTCCTCCATGTAATTACCCCTGTCCCCCTACACAGTAGCTGTCCTCTTATACCCTGTGTCATTTTCTTTTCCTTCTCATTGTTTTGCTATGCATACTAGTGTCTTAGGATGCTTCGGGGAGTATTTTTAGGATCCTTTATGGCAGATGGAAGCAATGCTAGTTTTGTAAGAAACCATCCCCAGAATTATACTTACACTTGTGAGTATTTCTTCTGTGCCTTTATTTCCATCTTGGCTGGACAGTTACCCCATTCTTAGAAGGTGGTGGTACTTGGGATGGTGAGCTGGTGAGGACTGGATATGGAGGTGACATGTGAACCCATGGGATCCTGAGAAGCAAGATGGAAACAAGAGTGTTCAATTCTAGGGGATCAGGAATACACAGGAAAAACTTGTAAGCTGAGAGAAGCCTAGGTTATTTTCTCATGCTTGTACAACTGCAGTAGCTGGAAAAAGACAACTAAATCTGATAGCTATCTGGTGAGCACTTGTACTTTACCATTTAAAATCATAAAAAGAGAATATATTGAACACATTGCTTAAAATTTCTAATTGATGACCCTTTGTTTTGCCTTTGTTTTAACATAGTTAAAGATAAAGTCCACCAGTATTTTCCAGCTGTTTCCCAGTGAGTCTTAAGACCTTGTTCAGGCCTCTTTTGCAGAAAACCTATTTGAGCTTTGTTTTTTCCCCAACAACCCACCCCGTGAGCAGGATTAGAGCTCTCACCTCTGTTCCTTTAATACCCTGTGATTACTATATCACATTCTAATCTCTGTATTTTGGTTCACCTACTAGAGAGAGGCTTGAGACCATTTTCCAGCTTGTATCCATGGGGTTAGCACAGTATCTGCTACATGGATAATGCTCTATAAGTGTCATGTAATGCAGCAAAGATAGGTGAAGTTTGAAACTGTAACTCATTTACACCATTGTAAAGATCTACAAAAATAGTAAAGGAAAAAAGAAAAACCTCAAGGTTACATAAGAAATCCCTTGATTTGGAAAAATTAAATTTTTTATTTTTATCTTCAAAGAGCCAGGCCAGCCTAAGCCAGTCTATTCTCTTTTTATACAAAAATTAAAAACATGAAATGGCCCATTGGTTTGTTTCATCAAAGTTGTTGAATTTATTAGTATAGAGTTCTTTGTAGTAGCCCTTTATTTTTCTTTGTCTTCAAAATCTGTAGTAATATCCCCTATTTCATTTTTTAATTTAATTTTTGTTGAATTTATTGGGAAGACATTAGTTCGTGGAGTTCTGTGGGTTCCAGATGTACAATTCTATGGTAATAAAATAAAATGGCCCATTAGCCTGTGTCCCAGGTAACTACTACTAAATTTTTAAAAAATTTATATAATATATGCATATGGTTAAAAAAAATTGGGGGATAGTATAAGAAGGAGTAAAATGAGTAAACCCCAATCCTCACTATTTCCTGATCTAAGGTTACCACCATTTATCGTGTTTTGTATTTTCTTGATAAGATACCCAATAAATTAGTATATTTGCAAATTATTTTAGTTGTTGATAGAACAGATCAAATATATAATCACTGTTCTATACCTTCTTCCCACCTAACCTCAATGTATCAAATTTTTCCATATCTGTCCTTGCCAGTTTAGCTCAGTGGATAGAACGTCAGCCTGTGGACTGAAGGGTCCTGGGTTCAATTCCTGTTAAGGGCATATCCCTGGGTTGCTGGCTCAACCTCCAGTAGGGGGCATGTAGGAGGCAGCCGATCAATGATTCTCTCTCATCATTGATGTTTCTATCTCTCTGTCCCTCTCCCCTCCTCTCTGAAATCAATAAAAAAATAAAATTAAATTAAAAAATTTTCCATATCAACACATAGAGGTCTACTGCCTTTTAGTTTAATGTCTGCATTGAATCGATGTCCCATAGTTTATGTAACCAGTTACCTGTTGATGGATGGCAAGCTTTTTTCTAATTACACTTTTATTTTGAGATAATTGTAGGTTCACATACAGTTGTAAGAAATAGTACAGAGAGGTCCCCTATATCCTTTACACAGTTCCTCCAGTGGTAACATCTTGTAAAACTATAGTACAGTTATCACAGCCAGGATATTGACGTTTATATAGTCAAGATACAGAATATTTTCTATCACCATAACATTTTCTTGTGTTACCCTTTTACAGCCACACCATTTCCCCTTCCACCCACATTTCCCCCTCCCCTTAACCCCTGGCAACCACGAATCTCTTCTCTTCTATAATTTTGTCATGTCAGGAATGTTAGTTACATAAATGGAATTAGACACTATGTGACCTTTTGGAATTGGCTCTATTCGCTCAGCAAAATTCTCTGGGGATCCAACCAGGTTGTTGGACATAAAGTTTTTTATTCCACTATCTTGCTATTAAAAATGGTGCTACAAAGGACTGCCTTATACAGAGAGTAAATTCCTAAGCCTGGTGTTGCTAAGTATCTGCAGTCTACATTTAAAAAAGTTTATATTACCTACTTATCCTCCAAAATGTTATATTTTCAACCTGACAAATAACTGGGAGTTCCTATTTCCACTTTTGATATCATAAGCAAAAATTAATAAAATGTAATGTGGCAAGTGAAAAACTATAATTTTTAAATTTTGGATGAAATGAGACATCTTTTTATGTTTTGACCCTATTTTATTTTTTCTATAAATTCTCTATTCATATTTGTTGCCTTTTCTTACTCATTGGAGTTCTCTAAATAATAAATTAGCTCTTTATACTATCAGAAACTTTTATTAAATTAATCTATTCTTCCCTGATTTGAAATGCCATTGTTATAAAATAGGTCCT